TGTAATATCTCTCGTGGATGAATAATAATCCTCTGTGTTCTAGCCTTTTCCAGGGTAGGGTTTTTTGTTTTTTGTTTTTTTCTTTTACTAATGTTTTCATTTTTTTTACACTGCTATTCATTTTTGTGAAATATTTGATTTCCCTTCTCAGGTTTAGTCTCTGAAAATATCCCACCACCATATCACCAATAAGCCATCATGATGGTCCCTTGTGCTCTTTCCACAAATTTTGATCCCTTTTCCTCGTTTAAGCCTCAGATCGATAGTTGCCTACAATTTTTGTAATTTTTTGACCCATATTCAGTTTCCCTGTATTCCTCCTATAATTATAGTGAAATCATCCGCTATTTTTCATTTTTCTTCTAAATTATTTCCTTGAGCATAATCCCTTCCAGCTCTATCCATGTTGCAGCAAATGGCATGTGTTTGTCTTTTTTGATTGCTGAGTAGTACATTATGTATATGTACCACATCTTCTTAGTCCAATCATCCATCTTTTTTTTTTTTTTTTGGCACTTAGTTTCCATATCATTAGCTACTGTAAATAGTGCTGCAGTGAACACACGAGTGCAGTTTCCTTTCAAATTAATGTTTTTGTGTCCTTTGGATAGATTCCTAAGAGCAGAATTGTTGGGTCATCTGGTAGATACATTCTTAACAATTTGAGTAATCTCCACACAGCTTTCCCTAGTGGTTGGACCAATTTGCATTCCCACCAGCATTATAAAAGCATTCCTTTTTCTCTACATCGTCACCAGCATTTGTTGTTGTCAGTTTTGTTTTAATATGGGCCATTATTATTGGTGTGAGGTGGTATCTCATTGTGACTTAGATTTGCATTTCCTTGATTATAAGTAATGTTGGATTTTTTTTTTTTCATATGCCTGTTAGCCATCTGTATTTCCTCTTTGCTTTTCCAGGGACTTTTTCTAAGGATTTATTTATTTGTGCATACAAAAGCTAGGGTGTATACCAGAGGTTCAGGGGTTGAGAGGATTTATCAGAGACAGAGTCGATAGCAGAACAGGTAGATCAACTGAAACACACTGCTGCAGGGAGCAGTGGGTGAGACAGGAAAGTCTGCTGCTGCAATGTGGGTTAGCTCCCTGGATAGGGATTGAACTTGTGCTGCAGTGACTGCTAAAGCAGGAAGGCCCTCCAGAGCACTTTTGGTCTATTATCTAAGTCAGTCCTCACAATAAGCGTAAGAATTGGGGATCCTAATTGACAAATGAGAAATTGAGCCTGAGGGAAGTGAAGCATCTTGTTCAAAGTTTCAGAGCCAAGAAGGTGGTCTGAGTCTGACCCACAAAGGACTCTAATTAGTCCTCTTATGTCACTTATGGAGAGACTGTGCCTCATCTCTCTTACTTGACATGCACATGAAACAAATACTAATTATATCACACAGTTTCTAAGGACATTAGCAATACTGACATGAGTGAAGCTTCCATAATGTTGTTAATGTGATTCAGCTGACATTTTCTCCATAAAAAATTTTCATTACTCAAAATTGACCTTATTTATATTTTTTTCCATTTCAAGATTTATTATAGACAGATTACCATGCATTATATTAAGAGTTTAAAATCTATTTCCTTGGTGATACAGTCTGAGCTGCAAATAATTTTCAGGGAATTATTTTGCCAAAAAAAAATCTTGTTGGCTCTTTTTCCCCTCTCAGTGTCAATCACATCCTTTGTATTGGCTTTATCGTGAAACACTTTTCTCCAGCTTTAAAATAAAATCATACCTAGAAATTCTGCAAAAATATGCTGGTTTCCATGACAACTAAAATAAGTTGACATAAAAAATGCCAGCTGTAATTCAGTGCCTTTGAATTTTCATCAGGTCCTTTGGACCCATTTAAGTGCTACACAAAAAGACCAGTGTTTACTTATATTTGTTGTCTTCATGTCAGAATGTTTTGCATTCACCTACATTTTTATATATTTTTTTATTTTTTCTTTACCTCCTTTCCATTCAGCACAAGAAAGATTAGTGCTCACAGTTTGAGAGAAAGGGCAGAATCAGATAGTGGGGTATTCCAATGCAACTGCAGCGAATTTGACATAAGTAGTTCTAAATCATGAGTAACCCTTTTATAGCCATTAATATTACCTTACACTTCATGGCACTTTGTAGTTGAGGTATTTTCTCATACATTATCTACATTAATCCTTAAAAAAAAAAATAAAAGCCTTTACAGCTATTTTTAAGTGCAATCAAAGATTCTCAAAATAACTTTCTTAGAGATAGCTGATGGTGAAAGTGAAATGTGAACTTCATTGTTCTAGGTGGAACTGTTCAACTTTCCACAGTAACTTATTACCTAACAGTCCTTAGGGTTGATACTTTTGCAAATCCATAATATAACGATATCCTGCTGAAATTGAAAATGACTAATTTCCTAAAGAAAATTGAAAATTGATCCAAAGTACAATTTTCCCAAGGCCTTATCAGAACTTCTAAATCATCAAGAAATGAAACCTTTCTATTCAAAAATTACATCATGTAAAAGTAAACTTTCTAAGATAGTAAAAAATCAGGGTTTGTGGCCAGACAGTCTCTATAAACTACTCAAATTCATTATGGTATGAAAACAGCCACAGAAGATATGTGCAAATGAATGCCCATGGTTGTGTTCCAGTAAAATTTTATTAACCAAAATTGGGAGCAGAAAAGATTGGTGAGTGGGCCATAGTTTGCCCAACCACATTGTAAAAGATCGATTTTAGTTTATTTTAGGAAAATAGAGAGTAAGATTTAGATTTAGGTGACTATCGAGCAGGAGTAGAACAGATCAGGACCAGACTTTACTGAAAAAAAAAATGTCACCTTCAGCTTATTGAAGCACATAGAAAAGCATCAAGGAAAGAACAAGGTAGCTTTCTTATATTTTTATGTGTTTTGTTTTACCCAAGGAAGAGATAAGGGCTTGTTCTGGGTAACCACAGGGGTGTTCTCTCTAACCTGTAAGACATAATATATTGTTCTTATATCTGGTTAGGGGACCGGTCCAGGAATCATACTGACATACGTTCTTTAATTCCACACACATTCTTTGGCTCCTTATTATGTATTGTGCTGGCAACCACTGGGTAGACAGAGATGAACAAGCCTCACTGGTGACCATTTGCGAGTTTCTGATCTAAGCTAAGGGTAAGAGAGGAAATGGTAAGGACAGACAAGCCTGCTTAAAAAAAAAAAAAATTGATAATGTGGGAAGTACCAGTAAGGAGAGATTAGTAAAATGTACTGAGAAAAAAAAGTCAAGAGCAATGAGTTTTGTCCTAAGCAATCAGGGCCATGTGACTGAGAGGTTGACAACTTCCAGCATGATCTGGAGTGAAAGGACACCAGAAGGAGCTGAAGGAAGGGCAGATCATGTATGTGTGACTGGGAGGAAGCATGGCAGCTGGAAGTCCAGCCAAATCTTCTGAGACGCTGAAATATCAAGCGAGGTATTAGGATTTTGTTCCACAACAGAAAGCCCGGGATGATTGTTTAGCAGGCATAAAATAGATCAAAAATAGGTTTTACTAAGAAAATATCACCACAAGTATAGGGAAAACTAGATTCATTAAGGGAACCTCTAAGAACTCTAGAGTAGTGCTGTGCTGTCCAAGAGGACAATGAGAAGGCACAAACAAAAGCCATGTATATGATTTTTAAATTTCTTGCAACCATAATTTTGAAAAGTTAAAAAAACAGAATTAGCTTAAATAGTACCCATTATTTAACCTAATTTATCCAAAATAATATTTCCACATGTAATCAACATACAGATTTAGTGAGATAATTCATTCTTTACCTCATACTAAGTCCTTAACATCTGGAATATAAATTACACTCAGACCAAGAATAAATTCTGACTAGTCCAGTGCCCCAGTGCCACAGTAGCCACCATCTGGGCAGCTTCACTAGAGTGCATTAAATAGCAGGCTTCCATAGGTCTAAACAGGAGGATGATCAGAAACCAGCATGTCAGGTTGCCTGGCTACTTATTTTGCCAAGTCTTGTTGTACCCTGAGTTCTTTTAGAATAACTAATATGGAAATAATTATGTCTTCAAAATAAAATATTTATGAAATTCCTGTGGACCTAGAAAGTACTGTTCTAACTAAAGGTAGGTAAATAGTTAAGGTAAGTGAAGTCTCAGACACTTGACATTATAATTACAGTGGTTTCAATCAGGAGTTTGAATCTTAACATTTTGGAGCTGATTATTTTGTGAAATGCTTCCAGTTTTACAAATGGCAGAGATTCAAAATCACTGAACTAAATATTACTCCTGGGGCTGCCCAATTCTTTCCTTTGTCCAGGGTAGTTGTGTGTCTGTGTGTGTGTGTGTGTGTGCAGTTTGGGAGTGGAACCCTGTTTACAGTTAGATGGTCAGGTTGAGGCCACATCAACTGTCTTCATTCTTACCTTCCCTGTGAGCAACTTCATTGTCTCTTCAAAAAAAAAGAAAAAGAAAAGAAAATATTTTATATTTTTAGAACCAATTCATTAATCTGATTATGATATCGAGCTATGAACTATCTAGAAATCACCCCCACTTTTCAGTTTGGATCTAGCTAGGCACATCTGCAGCTCTTCTATTTGGAGCTCCTTCAGTCGGGCTGTGTGTGCCTGTTGCCTAAGCATTTGCTAAAAGCATAGGCCTGGGATGGCGCCCCAGATTCTGCCTTTATTGATAAAGTTCTAGTGATATCTGAGCCGCTGGTCTGCAAACCACACATGGAATAGTAAGGCCCGAGAACATCAAATATTTGCTTGAAAAAAGTAATGTAAGCGCCCTCAGGTATTTCCTCCTTCACACAGTGTATTCCCAGCTTTGAAGCCTGTGGCTCCCTCCCCTCAGAGCACACTGTGGCCTGGAATTTGAAAAGAGACCAGAATTAAGAGATCACAGGGGTCCGAGCCACAGATCCTGCCAAGGAGCCACCTTTCCTTTGAGGCTCATACTTTTCATCCTCTTGCCTCCCTGCCTTTAGGTATCTAAACTTGAAAGAGAGAAGACTCAAGAGACAAAAAGGATTCGTGAGCTAGAGCAGCGCAAGCACACTGTCCTGGTGACAGAACTCAAAGCCAAGCTCCATGAGGAGAAAATGAAGGAGCTGCAGGCCGTGAGGGAGAATCTCATCAAACAGCATGAACAGGAGATGTCAAGGACAGTGAAGGTGCGGGATGGGGAGATTCAGAGGCTCAAGTCGGCCCTGTGTGCTCTCCGGGATGGCAGCAGTGACAAAGTAAGGACAGCGCTCACCATTGAGGCCCGGGAGGAGGCCCGGAAACTGTTTGACGCAGAGCGCCTTAAGCTCTTACAGGAAATTTCGGACCTGAAAACTGCCAAGAAGCAGGTGGACGAGGCTCTAAGCAATATGATCCAAGCGGATAAAATCAAGGCCGGGGACCTTAGGAGTGAGCATCAGTCCCACCAGGAGGCCATCTCAAAGATCAAGTGGGAGTCGGAGCGGGATATCCGAAGGCTGGTTAGTAACGAAAAGCAGTAAAGCAGAGCAGAACTATTCTCTGCCCAGCTTTCGGAATGCCTGGGATTTGCTTTCTCAAGTGTCTCTCATAAGTGGGTTAGGAACATTGCTCTGTGTGCGTCATTATCTGGTGCTTTATCTAAAGTGCAAGACAGATCAGTGAGTAAGTAGGTAGGTAAATATGGAGTTGGATATGCCGGGCCTTACTTGGAATTGTAAAATGTGAACAATTTTGCAGTCACCTTTCTTAAAAATTGGATTTTCCATTCGCACTCGTATGGAGAGCCTTCTCTGATTCTTGGATGGCTCCAGAAATATTTTTACACTGTCATCCTGTTTTTGTGGGTTGCCCAGTATTGAAGTGTTTTTGAGCTTTTACAGGAGCAGGGAAAGTGGCTCTGGCTTTCCGATGTCTGAACGTGGCAGCAGCAGGAAACATCCTGCGTGCTACACCTGCCTGCTTTCTAGGAACCATGAAGGAAAGAGCCATAAAATCCCTAGGCATTTTAAAAATAGATCTTTTTCCCCAAACAAACAAAGGTCATTATAATTTTTTAATTGGCTGTCATTCCCAAGTAGCTGTTTGCTCTTACCAATTTCCAAGACTACTTCAACCCCTACAGATTTGGGTCTTTCTTTTTCATCTGTACAACCAAAAGCCATTTTGGTCTCTCATTGTGCTTAAAAATAAAACATGCTATTGTTTGAAAGCTATAATGTCTTAGGTTGACCATATCCAATCATTTTAGAAGAAAAGGCAGTTAAGTGTATTTATTCTCAGAATACCTCGCATTGCTTATATCTTACCAAATTAACCACCTCCTTTTATAATGTACTTTCAGCTTCTCTAAAACCAATATTTTCTTAGGCAAACTACACTTTCCTTCTTGTGTCTTTGGACTCTGAGCAATTTTTTAAGAACTCTAATTATGCTCCTTGGATATAGCTCTAGGATTTCAATTTTAAGTAAACATGGCATCCTTAGAACATTTTAGAAAGCTTAAAACATATGTCATTTTCTTTGTTCTGCAATACATTGTGACTATAAAATATTGCCTTTGTCATACTTTCTGAATTCTTTATCTGAAATCATTCTATTGCACTTGTTGGCAATAAACACCAAACACAGCACAGAAATATTGTTCTCTGCCCTGTGTTTGATTTTGGAAATGTCACAATGAAGAGAGTCAGAATTGTAAACTCTGGACTAAGTAGGTATGTCAATGAAAAGGAAACTTTACTTATAATATTTTGGCTTATTGATGATTTTCAATGTAAAATCTACAAATATATTCACTTATTGTTCTATAATTTTTCTATAATTGTTCTATAATTTTTAGCATATTGCTAACATAGACCTGAAATCCCTTTAGTAACAAATCTAAGCCATTTGAAGAATGGTTTTAAAATTAGGTGTAAACAGAATAACACAAGCAACTTTTTTTGATAATACAGATGCACTTGTCTTCATTTCTCCCTCATCTTATCCTGCCCCCACCTCCAGCACCCAGAAATCCTCCATGCTGTAAATGAGATAATGTGTGTGAATCTCTGAGTTATGATGGCAAAGATGATTCCAGGCAGGAATGATTTCCCAGCAGAATCCACTAGGAGCAAGTAGATAGAGAGCTACAGTAAACTGAAACTACCAGTGTAGATGACCCGCTTGACAAATGAATGGGCTGTGTAGTTAAGCATGACACTGGACTCAAACCATCTACAAGTGGAAAGGAACTAAAGACAATACTTGCATTCCCTATTAATAAAAGTTCACCAAGTTACCAGATTGTACCACAAGATCATGCAGACTTTACCAAGTGCATCTTGGAGATAATAGCTCTGAGATATTTACATGTGGAACTATGAGACTATTTAACATAATTTCTGTCTTTCTCTCTCTCTTTTTTTTTTTTTTTTGGTCCAAGGAACACAGCAAAGATTTATAAAGTGATTTCTTATAGTTGGAGATATTTTTATAAAGACAATAATATACTCCTAGTTGTATTTTATATTTCTTTTTTATCTCCATTTCACATAAAATGAAAAGAAATGAGACAAAAGGTTTCTTGCTAGGCTCTCTTCAAAAGTGTTCATAAATATTCACAACCCTAGCTCTTATCTGGGTGTGGCAAGAAGTTTACCGCCCAAATAAACCCTTGTATCAAGTGCCTGTAGGTTTTAGTAGAGAAATATTTCTTAGGTCATTTTCAGGCTTAGCAGAAATGAGTGTGGAGGTCAATAAATATATCCCACAGATATAGGGAGGGAACAGTGGCTAATATGACCAGGTATTTGCTATCCCTGTTCTGTTTTTGTCCCAACCATGATTCCTAACTGCAATGCTAAAAGTTTGCTGAGAACTAACCTCCACCATATGGATGGGAGTGGAAAGCCATAGAAGGACTCAGCTCCAAATTCTTGTCTGAATGCAAACATGTTCCACTAGCCTTGGGAAATGGTGAGGCTACTGAAAAGGTTCAGCTTCTTCAGTTAGAAATGATCTCTTTATAGTGGCTACTGCTATTTGAACAGCCCAAAGCAAGAAGTAACAACAAAAATTGTCCTGGGGAACATTGTCATGGAACATTTCACACCTGGTAACGTTTCTTTCCCACATCCAGCCAACCCATACCATTTCAAATGATATATGAAATCAAATACATAGGATATACTAAAGAGGAAATAACTACTCTTCTTAGGCTAGGATACTCCTTCACTGCAGTATACTTTGTCATACTCATGAAATCAATAACTTGTATTTATGACTTTTCCATGTCAACGAACAAAAAGAAGTTATATTTATACCATTGTAAAAGTGTGTTTCTTTACAATATTGTTAAGCAAAATGCCCTGGGTGTCATTTAATTCAGATGGATGAAATCAAAGCCAAGGACAGAATCATCTTTTCCCTGGAAAAGGAACTGGAGACGCAAACGGGCTATGTACAGAAATTGCAGCTGCAGAAGGAGGCTCTGGATGAACAACTCTTCCTGGTCAAAGAGGCTGAGTGTAACATGAGCAGTCCAAAAAGAGAAATTCCAGGGAGAGCAGGAGATGGCTCGGAACATTGCAGCAGCCCAGTAAGTCTATTCAAGTTTCAGAGTTCAAGAGCCATCTTTTTTTTTTTTTTTTTTACAGATTTATTTATTTGTGCATACAGAACTGGGGGACAGGCCAGAGGCTCAGGGGTGGCGAGAGGCTTCACCAGAGACAGAGTGGGGAACAGAACAGGCAGATCGACGAAGTACACTGCTGAGGGGAGCAGCGGGCAGGTCAGGAGAGGTCTGCCACGCCATGTGGTCACCTCCGGGGTAGGTGGGAATCGAACTCATGCAGGAGCGGCTTTAGATTCTCAGTACTGTGCTTTAATCCGCTGCACTACCAGGGAGGGCCGAAGAGCCATCTTTTATCTCGTGCCCAAGTTTTACTTCACTTAAGCTCTTTTCCTGATTATGATAAAGAAATCAGTTCTACCTCCTACTGTAAAACAGCTGGTATTTGGGGAATAGAATTTTCTAACTTATACATAACAAATTGGTCTTCACTGTGTGAGCAGATCACAAGAGAAATACAGGTCTGTTTCAATCCTTCATAGAATTTTTCTAACCAGGCAACACCTAGTCACACTTTAACTTATTATGAAAATATGTTCTCTTTTGCCAAGCCTGGTAATTTTTCCTTGTGTGTCCAATTCAGTTGGAGATTGGTAAAGATTGTTATTGCCCACTGGAGTCAAAGTATAGAACTATCTAGACTAAATAATTTATAATCCTCACCTGAAAGCTGTACTCTGATTGAATTTGATACTTATTTCCATGAATTTCCTTCACTTTATATGATAAATTATTTTTTAAAGTACACTTAGAAAAATCATTTTGGGTATAATTGACTTTCATATCTTACTTAGCTGCTATAAAAATGAAAATGTATTTCTTAAGAACAGAGATGTATTCCACAGTAGTACTTAGAACTGAGTGATGAATAATTTACAATTGGAGTTCAGGAGATGATAGATAGATAGATAGATAGATAGATAGATAGATAGATAGATAGATAGATAGATAGATTGATTGATTTGTTGTGTGGCTTTAGACAAATCATTTCACTGCTCAAGAATAGCATGCTCTATAAGTCTGGTCTGCAGTCCAGAGAAGATTATATATCAAATGTGGAGAGAAGATTATATATAAAATGTGGTTAAATTTCAATACATATTACTCATCTGTTGACATTAGCCACAAGACCTTAAAATAAGTCATTGCCTTCCTGAATCGTACCTGTTCTGCTCAATCTTCTAATATATTGTGAATCTAAGGATATAATTGTGTGGAATAACTTTGTCAACAGGATAGCACTACCAAAAGATAAGATGATAATGGAATTGCCAGTATATGATAATAGAGGCCCCATGGACTCTGAAGACAGAATTAAGCCACAACTTTATGGGCAAAGTGATCCACAGTATTTATGACAGTGAGAAATCCATTTGCTCTCAGCAAAATATATCGGCAAGGGCTGTCCTATAACTTGTTGCCTTTTGTACTTAAAGGTAACGCACCAGCCTTCTCCCTCTGACCTTTTTCTCCAGGACTTTGTAAGAATTTACAAAAGCCCATGCCTACCTCCTACTTTATCTTCTCTTGGGCTAAGTGTACTAACAGGACACCTGTCTAAGTCATGAGAAGTCATGTGCAGCCATGATGTAAAGAATGTTCCTTGAACCTCACACAATCACCACATGATCTTTAGCCTCATAGCTCACCCTTCTGATAGACTGATCTATCTGCCCCAGGAGTCAGGGTTCTGGGGAGTATCTGCCATATGGAATTCATTTGCAATTTCAGCCAGGCTTGGTCTTAAGCCCAAGTAGTACATATTGGGTGTTAGGAGAGGGTCAATAGTCACTCTTCCCTAAGTAAGAGAATATTTTACTCTCCCCTCCTAAGCCAGATGAAAGGAATTAAGTTTCTTTCTTTTATGAGCACTATTCCAAAACTCTATGGAAAGTGTTGTTGAAGACATATCTGATTTAATTTAATGTGTAGGATTTACGAAGAAATCAAAAGAGAATAGCTGAATTGAATGCCACTATAAGAAAATTAGAAGACAGGAATACCTTGCTTGGAGATGAACGAAATGAATTGGTAAGTTCTAATGAGAATTTATTTTATATTTTGGTTAAGTGTTGTGTTTAGGTGAAAGTTTAAATTGATGTTATAAAAATATAATGTAATACGGAGAAGCATACAAATAATAAAGGTAAAATTCAAACAATACGCCTGAAGTGATACACCCATATAACCACCACGCAGGTGAACAAAAGGGGAGCTGCCGACACCTCTCAACCTCCCTTCCTCACCAGCCTTCTACCTCTCTAGGTGTTTATTGGTAGTTTGTAATGTATTTTAAATAGAATCATACTCTTTTTGTTAGGCATTTTTGCTGAGCGTACAAAGTAAATTGTTCACTTGAGTTATGTTTTTGGTTTTGAAATACATTCTTAGTATGATTTTAAATTTTTAATCTCCTTCTTAATAATGAGAGCAAGGAACTTATGAAAATGCCCATTGTCCTTATGGGTATTCTGTGTGATTTTCCCTTTATCTCTTGCCCATTTGCTATTGTGCTAACTTTAATTTCTTATAAATATTTAGAATTCTCTTACATTATTTTTGGACATCTGTATTTAACCTACCTTGTTCTGTAGTTTACAGTTTACATTCTAAGTATGTATCTTTTACTTCATGTTTTTCTAATGTTGTAATGCATTGCTATTTAGTTCAAAATCTTTTCTAATAATGTGTAATTTCTTCTTTCACCTGTGGATTTCTTAGCAGTATGTGGCTTACTTTTCAAGCTTTTGGAGATTTTTGAGTTAGCTCTTTGTTACTGATTTCTACCCTAACTCTAATATAGTGAAAAAACATACTTTCTATTATTCAGTTTCTTTAAGATTTGTTGAAATTTGTGACTGTAGCATATGGTAAATTTTTTAAATGTCCCATGTTCTTATGAAAAGTTCACACTCCTCAATTGTTAGATGCAGTTTGAATAAATTTTATTATTAATAGTCTTGTGTAAAACCTTCTATAACCTTACTAAATGATACTGTGTTGGCTTCTCCCAACAGATTTCAGTTTTCACAATCTGTTGATCTTAGTTCTGTCAGTTTTTCTTCATATGTATTTGAAGTTATATTATTATGTACAAGTAAATTAAGATGTATAATATGTTTTTGGTATATTGACCCACTCTATCATTTTGAAATATTTTTCTTATCTTTTGACTTAACGTCTTTGATAGTGATAAAACTCTCACATTTTTTGTTTTAGTGTTTCATGAAAAAGTATGATAGCCCAATATGCACATGCACATACATACAGCTATTCTCTACTTTCATTGTATTTCAGGTATTACTTTTAAAAGAACATGTTCTGGGTTCTGTGGGACAATGGATATTGATGTATATACAAAAGAGTTACAGATATTTGCTTTTTTTTTAAGTTTATCTGCATTTTTTACAAGTAGCATATACTATGTAAACTTATGTACATACACCTTGTCAATGATCTCCAGAAAAGATAGAGAATACTATTTTAGAACTCAAGGGAAACTGTAAATATTCATAGATATTTAAGTTTTTTGTGTAGTACTTCCTAAAATGTTAGGATACATGAAAAGAATAAGAACTTGAATATGGAAATTCAATGGAAAGCTATGTTTGGCCATGACACAGGAATGTTTCAAGTGACCATATGCTATATCATCTAATTAAAGGGGAAAATTTTCAGAATAAAAGCAGAAGGACTATTAGCAATCACCCCAATACAGCCCTTATAAATTTCAGTCAGTGGTTCTCAAGTAAAGGCGGTCTGGATAACACTTTGGGTGTTTTTGGTAGTGACAACAGGGAGGATGTTGCTGGTGTCTGTTGACAGAGGCTAGGGGTGCTGCTTAGCATCCTCCTCTGTCCCATACAACTCCCCCAACCTAACTTACTGTTCTTTCTAGTTTCTCATAAATACAAAGATATATGGCATAAAATGTCTAGAGTACAGTATGTTACACCTTCAAGGCTCGTTAAGGACAAGTTATTCCTAAATACAAATACAAATACAGTTTCAAGGTTGTTTTTTTCCCTCAGTAAATCTTTTTGTAAAATAAGCATCCTTAATGAGTCAGGACACTTCTTCCCCAATTACTCCTTTCTGTCCTCATATCCCTCCTCAACCCAAGAGACAAGCTGTGCCTTCTGTCTTTCCAGTTAAAACGTGTACGGGAAACTGAAAAACAATGTAAGCCTCTTCTGGAAAGGAATAAGTGCCTCGCCAAGAGAAACGATGAACTGATGGTGTCTTTGCAGCGCATGGAAGAGAAACTAAAAGCCGTTACCAAGGAAAATTCAGAAATGGTGTGTATCACATGCTCTGCAGAACTGCCTTTTCTTTCTGTCTATTGCTCCCCCAACCTAACTTACTGTTCTTTCTAGTTTCTCATAAATACAAAGCTATTTATGAGAATTTTGGTTTTCCCTTATGTAAGCAAGGAAACTTTAAGGAAGAAAGCAAGAGAAAGTTGCTGGCTGTGAATTTTCTGAGCTTTCTAAATTTACAGAGCCAGTAGGTGTGCTTCCAGGAACGTGCTCACTCTCCAAAAGATCTGAAATAGGAAGCATCGCAACACAGCCCCCGAAACTTCCTTTCAAGAATTTTACTAACATGCTCTCTGTAGCACTGCATAGTGAACTTACATCTCCTAAGACTGTATGTAAGAGATAAGGACGAGATGCCATCATTTGTATTAGATTTGGATAAGTGATGGGGAGTGTCCTCTTCACAGACCGAGAGCACAGAAGATGCTCTAGACATCTTCAGACAATCAATTCTTTCAACTTAGAGCAGATAAAATGAACTTGAGGATTTTAGTGGCTATGTATGTGTAGCTAAGCTGTATATATTTTTCAATTTAGTTAGGCCTCATAAAATTTCTACAAATATTTTATCTGAAGCTCTAAAATTTGGGTATTTTAAAATGTCTGCTTGTCCACTTGTCCTTTCTTCTTTTCCCAATCAGAGAGAAAAAATAACATCTCATCCACCCTTGAAAAAGTTGAAATCTCTGAATGACCTTGACCAAGCTAATGAAGAACAAGAGACAGAGTTCCTAAAACTTCAAGTCATTGAACAACAGAACATTATCGATGAGCTCACAAGGGTAGGTTTTAATCACTTTATAAACTAAGCATTTCCCAGGGACAAGTTGCCTGCAAATCACCACACTCTGGGAGTATTTCATAGTTTTGGATTAGCCCCAAAGCCAAGTTCTTATGTTTGGTATGTAAATAGGTTCAAGAGAGTCTATTATGAAAATATCTCTTATTAGTCACCTGTTATAAACCTTTTCAACTATAGTCCATTCTTAACTAATTGACAGAGTTTAGGAACAGGTGATGGGGGTTTTAAATAATAGTCTCTAAAATAAGGTGGTCAAGATTACTTCCTGCTGTTGAGGAAATAAAAGATTATAACTTCTGTTTATAATTATTTATGGCTTTCTCTTTATAAATGTCCTTTGATGAGTATACAGTATAGTGCATATACTGTAGGAAAAGGATAATCTAAGCGTAACTGTTTAAAGTTTCAGAAATATTAAAATTTCATAGTCAAAATATTTTTACTATTAGAATGAAAAATCAAAAAATTAACATCACTAACTTAAACCATATTTGGCCTTCTAAAACACTGTATCCTCACTCAGTTCTACATTCTCAATTACTTATAGTTCTCATAGATTCACTAGTATAGAAATTTGCTTGACTTTGAGAATCCTGTGTTTAAAAGTTTCTTACAGGATTTTGAGATATTCGTGCCTATTGACAAGATATATAAGTGACACCTTTTCCATCTATCTTTGAATTCATACAATAAACACCTGAAATATATATATTTTAAGATTTATTTATTTGTTCATACAGAACTGGGGTACAGGCCAGAGGCTCAGGGGCAGCGAGAGGCTTCACCAGAGACAGAGTGGGGAGCAGAACAGGCAGATCGACGAAGTACACTGCTGAGGGGAGCAGCGGGCGGGTCAAGAGAGGTCTGCCACGCCATGTGGTCACCTCCAGGGCAGGCGGGAATCGAACTCATGCGGAAGTGGCTTTAGCTTCTCAGTGCAGTGCTTTAACCCGCTGTGCCACCAGGGAGGGCCCAAACACCTGAAATATTTAATGGATGAATAGCAAATTTCCAAAATTTTCATCTACAATAAGAATGAATCAAGAAATTGGTCATCATTTCTTGGCATTCCAATGAAAACCCCTCACCCCACAAAGCACTAGATGATTCTAAGTAGAAACTTTGTTCCCATCTTCAGAGGCCTCAGGTAAGAACAAGCATCCAAGATTAATTAAAGGATAGTTTTCTATGCTTTTCAAGTGAATAAATGAAAAGAATAAGGTTTTACTTTATTATAAAATAATATCTGTTCAACACTTTATACTTTAAAAATAATTTTGAAACCGCCCTAAAAATAATTTTGAAACCGCCCTCCCTGGTGGCGCAGCAGGTTAAAGCACAGCACTGGGAAACTAAAGCCACTTCAGCATGAGTTCGATACCCTCATGCCCCGGAGGTAATCCACATGGCATGGCAGACCTCTCCTGACCCACCTCATTGATCTGCCTGTTCTGTTCCCCACGCTGTCCCTGGTGAATCCTCTCACAGCCCCTACACCTCTGGCTTGTACCCCAGTTCTGTATGCATAAATAAATAAATCTTTAAAAATGATAATAATAATTTTGATAATAATAATAATAATGAACAGTTATATACCAGAGACATTTTATGGGAGTGGAGTGGGGAATTAAATCAAAAACAGTGGGGGGAGGGAAATGCACTGGACTTCGGTGATAGCACATGGGTGATTTGGTGTTGGGAAGCCCAAGAGGATTACAATTGGAATGGAAAAATGCACAAAATGATGGAAAAATAAACTATCAGGGAAAAAAATCAAAATAATAATAATAATTTTGAATCCCGGAAAAACTGAAGAATATTCTTTGGAGAATGTGAGTAATTCTTATTAGAGCTATTTGATCTTTAAGGGTAAATCTTTAAGGATTCTGATTAGGAACACAGTACCTCCTGATTGTGAAGCTGTAAGATAAGATCCATGTGGAGTATCAGGAAAAGTTATAGAATATCCTTACTTTAATTTGTTTAAATGTCATACCAAACTATTGTCAAAGAAGGCCCTCCCTGGTTGTGCCACAGGTTAAAGCTCAACACTATAACACTTTAGTGCAAGTTCGATCCCCAGCCAGGGAAATGACCCATATAGCTCAGCAGACTTCTCCTGTCTCTCCTACTGCTCCCCTCAGCAGTGTACTTCTTTTATTTGCCTACTCTGCTCCCCCCTCTGTCTCTGGCGAATCCTCTCACTGCCCCTGCACTTCTGGCCTGTACCTCAGTTCTGTGTGCATAAACAAATTTTTTTTAAAAAGTTGTCAAAGATACAGAGTATAATATTATTTTAAACATAAATATGTAATTCCTCAGGAGAAAAGACACTCTGTGCAAAAAACCAAAAGCCTATATAGAAAATATATACCAATTCTAGCTCTGAAAAATCTTCATCTGTTTTCCAGGACCGAGAAAAGCTTATCCGTAGGAGAAGGCATAGGAGGAGTTCCAAGCCAATTAAGGTAATGAGAAGACTGGGTTATCAGAATTTTGCCACAAACACAGCCAGACGAGTAGAGCTTGCCAAGAAATCGTCCTGCAAAATGTGATAAATTGCATATTCCCGAAATGCCGCTGCCCATGGGCTTTATATGCCAGAAGAAATTCTCTTCTCTTGACATTTCTCAGAAGTCCAAAAATGATTGTGTTGTGGATTCTGGCTTGAAAGGGTTGCTTTTCTATGACTGCCTGAGTAGAGAAGTGAGCGGGTTTGATGGTGTAAATGTAACCTGCCAAGTTAGAGAGTCGCACTCCAGTCGTACGCCACAAACACATGACCTAAGGCCTCCCATTGACAGCTGCCCTGTAACCGATCAGTATGTTTTCATTATGCACTAGGAAAACACTGGTGGTAATGATGCTTCCAATCCACCAATATCTGTATAGCTTTTTATAATCCATAAAGTTTTGTTACTTAGCTTATCTGTTCGATTTTTATTTCTGCCAAGTGCATCATTTGAAGGGTCCATGTGGTCTGTGTTCCTGTGCACATCGCCAGTCAGCAGAGCTTCAGTCAAATACACAGGTAGTTGTGTCAGTGAGTCTGTACTTTCTCTCCACAGAGGCCTGTTTTGGACCCATTTATTGGCTATGATGAGGACTCCATGGATTCGGAGACATCATCCATGGCCTCATTTAGAACAGACCGAACACCAGCCACTCCTGATGATGACTTGGATGAAGTAAGCTTTGTTTTTGTTATATGCTTACCAAATCTTACCGTTAAGGGAGACAAAAACATGCTTTCCATGGTTTACCTCCTTTAAAAACAGCTAAAAATGATCTCATAATAGTGACCAATTTTGAGACCATGCTTGAATTGAATACCTCTTGGAAAATAGCTTCACCTATATCGTATAACTTTTCTATTTTTATTTTTTGCCTCTTATCCTCCTTGCCCCCTTAACTTCAGAACTATTGCCATGTTTATTGTCCACTGGGCATGTAAGCTTTTTAGAAATTCTAAAGTGCAGGTCTGTAATGAAAAGACTTCTTTCAGAATAAACATCACTTTCCCAAATTCTTCACCACGAGAAAGTATTAACCAAAGAATAAACTGGAAGAACAAGTTTTTAGATATAATCTCAGATGGTATTTAGCAAAGTGTATTCTGCAAGCCACCTTCACTGGAATCATCTTGGGGATTCAATCATGTTGGAAATTGCTAGACTCTACCATAAGCACTCCTGACTCAAGATCTTGGAGCCGGAGCCTCTACATCTGCATTTTTCACTAAACTCCCTGGTGACTGTCTCATGCTCTGGAGTTTGACACCTTTTGTAATTTTTCAGAGAAAGAAGTTGATAGATGTGAATGTATTGCAAAGACGCAAGACTAAAGTCCTCAGCAGCACTGCCTCAAATTTACATCCAAAATCTGAGCATAAGTCCTTATTTGGGTCCAAAATTTTCTAGAATCCAAGTAGTAATCAGAAATGTATACATAAGTAAATGTTTCTGTTATTAATAAATATTTAGGTATTTCTGCAATTTCCATCTTGAAAATATTACTATGCATACTTTGAAATTAAGAATAAAATCACACTGAATCCAAAACCAAACCTTTAACTTCTCTTAACAAATGGACAAATGTTAACATTTCATATGGAACCCAGGAACTGAGCATTGCACAATTATTATTTTTTTTTTTAACCTAAAGAGTTTAGCAGCTGAAGAATCGGAGTTACGATTTCGGCAATTAACAAAAGAATACCAGGCCCTGCAACGAGCGTATGCCCTCCTGCAGGAGCAAACCGGAGGCCTCATTGATGCTGAAAGAGAAGCTAAGGTGAGTGAACCTCTGGGGAGAGGGCTTTGACTGGCTGCAACAACCACAGCATGAAAATACCACGGGAGGAACAGTATCCCCGGGCCAGCCGTTCTCCACCCTTCTCCCACTGTGGCTTTGAACTCTTATCTTTCATGTCAACAAACCATACCTTGGATCTAGAAACGTTAGAACCTACCTTAGATGGATGCTTTTATTCCTTTAAAGATAGTTGAGCATATAGTTCTTATCATTGCTATTTGAAAATGTGTATTTTCAAAGCTAGACAATAATAAATTTTGATAATCCATTTTTTTGGTTTTTGCTTAAGAGAGAGAAATTTGACCTTTCAAAAAGAATGGTTAGCTAGTTTCTTTTAATAAGTCCACTGAGTTACAGTTGACAACTGACTGAGAACTTTCAATGACTATATCTTATTTAGTCCCTGTGACCGCTCTCTTGGGTCAATATTTTATAAAAGGGCAGTGTAAGGCTCAGAGGGGTTAATTGAATTAAAGTACCCAAGATCACAGACAGTAAATAGAAAATTGGGATTCCAATTCAAATTACTCAAATCTTACTAAGTAAGATTTGAAAAACTTGGTAGTTCTTTTTATTATGTCACAACTGCCCTTCTAACCTTGTTTAAAAAGACATGCATTCTAATCCCTAATATCTATTGATTCTTGCTATGTTCTAGTTATTATAATGAGCATCGTGCATACATTATGTCATGTCATCATAAGACAAGTCTAACTGTTACTGTCTTTTTTATAGAAGAGGAGAGAATAACTTAGTAGGAGATAGGCATAACTTAGGTTAAAATCAGAATATGTTGCTTAGTCAGATTAAAGTTAGGATATGAACTATAGTCCTTTTAAGTTTGGAATCATAACCTCCATGCCATAACTTACATGGAACAAGAAGGACTGTGCTGCCCTGTGGGTTTACATGGTCTGTAGTATGCTGAGGAGTGCTGCTGAAGCCACTGTCAGTTGTTTTTGGGGGAGGGATAGATATTACAGTTAGGAAATTTTACATGACAGTGTATAAACATATACACTTACATATGAGTGCATATACAAATAAGTAAATGTGGAATTTGGAATGGACAGGAAATCAGTCATTAGAAAGGAGGTGTATGTGTGTCTTTAGCATTGTGCCCTAAGTTTGTAACCTTTGTCGTTTACATTATCAGTATTTCCTAACATTCTTATCCACATAGGTTTGGTTATTTAATCTAACAGCATATTCCTTATTTTTATTTTTATATATTTTTCTGCATAGAAGAATTGGGCTGTAGGCCAGAGGATTTACCAGAGACAGAGTGGGGAACAGAACAGGCAGATCCACTGAAATACACTGCTAAGTCAAGACAGGAGAGGTCTGCTGTGCCATGTGGGTCAGTTCCCTGGCCGGGGATCAAACTCAGGCCGTAGCAGTGATAGCACTGAGACTTAACCCGTAGGTCACCAGAGAGGCCCCATATTCCTTGTTTTTATTTTTTTTTTTTTTGAAATGTGATGATATAGAAGCTTGTTCTCTTTCTCTCTACTCACTCTCTAATCTAAATAGCATTGCTCTGGTCACTGAAGTTGAAAAACTATTCTCAGCAAAACAGTCTAAAACAAAGCAGATAGGAAAAGAACAGCAGAGTAAATTTTTTAAATGTAGAATACAAACGTAGTTTGGATGAAAACATCAATGAAAGCAAAGGATATAGTCATGTTAATACAAGGGGAAACAAGGTATTATATTTAATAACCATTCCAGGTTAAAATAAATCTTAGCAAAATAAAGCTTGGATTTGTTGTTGTTGTTGTTCTGATAAAGGTAACATTTAACAATCTCCTCTTGAAGAGAATGGGAAAGATACCTATCTTTGCTACTTTCATTCAACTTTATACTGTTGAAACTATCCAGATCACAAGACAAGGAAAAAATATACATAGGAGCAGGAAAAAAGAAAAAAGCAAACTATTTTTCAAAGAAAATAGGATTATATATAGAAAGAGAATCAAAGATAGTCCATTTGTTAAATCCAGCAAAATGGTGGCAGTAGGGACACTGGGCTCACCTACTCCACAGACTTGAAATTAGAATGCAGTAGAACAAAGCCTAAAAATCCTGGTGGAGAAAAGGGACAACCACAGCACACTTTGGGAGCAACAGTCCAGGGAAAAGGGGTGCAAAGGCAGGACTCTGAAAGTCTTTCCCTAAGATAACCCCTAAGAAAGCCAGAAGACTGAACATACCACAGATGCTGGAGCAAAAACTCCCTCAGTGGAGTCTCAGTCTAGAGGACTGCAGGGGAGTTCAAGCTAGCAGTTATAAAAACACTTATGAAACTCAAAAAAGCTGTTAGGCTAAGTGATGGAGGACAGGTTGCTCCCCAAGATCAACACCTCAAGCTGCTTTCACGTAGACTGGCACATACACACACACACATGTGCACATCATGTGTGTATGTTTGCATATGTTGGCTTTAGATGTAAGGCACAAAGTTGACTATGTAAGAATGGTGGTGGGATCTAGGTGAGCCCAAAGTAGTGAAGGCTCTCCAGAAGTAGAACTGATTCAAGTAAAGAGACAAGTGGCAAGTAACAACATGTGTTTAGGAAACAAGGAGGTCACCAGCAGGTGAGGTGTGGACTCGGTTGAGTAGTAGGGAAAGAGTAGACATAGAATGGGAGTTCTCGAAGCCCAAGCTGCTAAGGTTGAATTTCAACCTGATGGTCAAGGGAACCACATGAAATTTTAAGCACGACTTTATTTCCTAAAATAGTTTTAAAAGATCCTTTTGTCACAGCAAGATTCTTATTTCTTCTTGCTTGTTAAGGGCTAGGCAAGGACCCGGAGGGGAAGAAAACTGCTGAATGACCGTTTTGCTTGTTGAGTTGTGGCATCTTTATTTTACCAGGCTCAAGAACAGCTCCAGGCAGAGGTGCTAAGGTATAAAGCCAAAATCGAAGATCTGGAAGCAACTCTGGCTCAGAAAGGGCAGGTAGGCATTTGCTGGCTAGCACCGCTACAGAGGCAGACAGTTGAGTCTGCCCTTCCTCTAGACGGCCCTGCGCACCCAGGACACGGCTTGGCTCGCCACAGTGACCTTTCTCAAACTGTGTCAGAATGTTCAACTCTATGTTTCTGTCCCTGGTGTTTTTCTGGCCAGAGTTGTGAGCCCAACTACAACAGCGTATGAGGTTGGGCAAGAGAGAGAATGCCAGAGGAAGAGGATCCCTGTCCAGTAGCCTAGACTTGTCACAGCGGCTAAGACAAAGACCCTCCCTCCAGCTGCATTCTTTGCCTCTCTGCTACATTTATGGTTCTGCATTTTAATGTTTTCCATTCATATGTATCTGGCCTGTGTGCATTCTGACCCTTTTCACTTTTTGCCTGTGTGGTCACTTCTGAGTCCCCAGAAGGCTGGTCCTGGATTATTCAGACTGAAAAGGGTAGCGCTAGTGAGTGACAATGAGAAGGGGGTTAAATTTTCCTGGCAACTTTGGCCCCAATGTCTTTGAATAAGGAGCTGGCGGGGCGGGTGTCACTTACCAGTGGCCGACAGGCAAACAAACTGGGTGAAAAGAAGACAGCTGTACCAAGTGGTGTGACGACACGTGCTCTCTCGTGCCCCTCTGAAATGCTGACTGCGCGATATTCTTTGTCAAACAGGCTTCACACTGGGTAGAAGATAAACAACTTTTCATTAAGAGAAACCAGGAGCTTTTAGAAAAGGTATGTTGGGCGCAACACCCTAGTGGGGCAGAGGAGAAAATGATGCGAGATCCAGGAGCAGCAGGGGGTCCTCTCAGGAGTGGCACAGGGGCTAGGGGAAGGGGAGGCTTTTCCGGCACCGCGCTGTCCTCTGCTGCGTGCTCGACTGCATCCTTGTCCCCGCCATCACCATCAGTGAAGTGGCACGTGTGCATGGCTCTGCTCTGGGCGTTGTGCCGACTGGAAAGGATGTGACCCCGAAACCTGCGGATATGTCGACCATATATATCTCCTGTATATATATGCAGATATATATACGCACATGTGTACACATCCTGCGTGGTTGTCCATCTGCAAAGTACACACTTGAGTAGACCTGTTATTTTGTGCAAGGAAGTGACAGAATCTGACTGACTGCCAGACCGTGCTGCACCCCAGCATAGACTGTTCTCACTTTGAATCTTGTTGCTCAACTTAACTGTTTATATTTATTCATGTGTATCTTTTTTAATGAGAGAACTTTGAAAAGATACAGCCAAAGCATAATACAACATGTCCTGGAGGTGGTTCAAAGAATCAAGCTGCCAAAGTCCAGTGACACATGAGCCCAAGAGAGATAATTAATTTTGACTGAGCATAAGCTTTTGGTTTAAGGTAGTTAATGCAACTGAGATCTTACTAAGTTCAAAGGTGGCTTTTCCCTTGATATTTAGCTTCCAAAAATCCATGGGAGGGATTGCAAAATTATCTTATGTTGTTGTTGACAAAACCAGAGTTTGGAAGCCCTTTTGAATATGAGAAATAATTGCCCCCTACATCTTCATTATCATAAGAAAGGAAAAAAAGATAAATGTCCTCCCTCCTTTCCATTCTGACAAAGTTAGGAAATCCTGTCTTATTTTCTACATGAAGAGAGACAGCTAATGTATAGAAGATAAATAGATATTCCAAGATTGAAAACATGCTCAAAAGATATACCTTCAAGATTGAAGGTATGCAGAGAAAGGTTAAAGGTCCTTATGAAGAAACTTCATCATACATAGGCTCTGACCTGTGCCTTGCACCCTTGAACCACTGACCTAGTAGCTACCACTTCCCACCAGAACCGGAGATCTCCCCAAATAGCCCATCATCAACCTCAAGGCAAGATACTAGAAAACAGAATCTCTTTTTTTGATATGTCAGCCTCTAAAAGCTTAAAAGTTCCATAGACCATAAAAACCTAGTATAAAAAAATAAATTGACTACATTAATATCATACAATATATCCCTATATATCTCCATTTCCTATTTTTCTGTATCATGACACTGAGTAAAATCAGATTTTAGTTGTCTCAGAAATGTGTTACTACATTCTTTGTCACCTAAAAAAAAATTGTTTCCATTATGTCTTCTGCCTGATCTCCTTTGCTCTTGATTTCTTTCAGCCAATAGGAAGCTTTTCAGCTCAGGTCTCTTGGAGCAAAAGGAAAACAGAAATGATGATAAAGCTAACCATTTTACTTCAGATATATATACTTAGGGAAAGTAAGATTAATTCTACAATAAAAGTTCCTAGTTTTTTATTTCTAAATTAAAGACTTTAAGTGAGGCCTACCCAGATAGCAAATGTCAAAGGCAGCCCCAAATCTATTACAGATCATGAAAATTTTCTGAGCCCTTGTAGCCATGGACATGTGTGTACACAACTAACTTAGTTTTGTGCCTCACCTGGTTCTGTAGGCACTCTACAGGAATGCCCAGTAGGAAAACAGACGGCAGAAGCATCACTTCTGAATAGGAGACCAGGAGGAAAGACTCTCACAGTGTGCACGATGTTACTGTTCAGTGTTTAAGGAAGTGCAGGATTTTCTCACATTTTGAAGGAAGTGGGCAGAGTCCTTTTCTGGCCGGGAGATGAGAAATACAGCGTTCATGGAAGAATTAAGTCCCTGGGGTTGATCTGGGATTCTAGATTCTGGTGTGTGTGTGACCACATGTCAGTTTTTGAGTGTGTAGAAATGACATTGATAACATTTAAAACTGGGAGGCTAGGTGATGACCAGTTCATTACTGTTTCTCAATGCCATTTGAGGAATTTGGCTTTATTTTGTAATTAACTCGAATTGAGCTGTTTCATATAAGATCAAAGATGTTTCCTAAAAGTTATTTCTATAACTATTTGCAACTCCAGAAGTGAGTGGTCAGTTTCCCTTATTTGTACCATTAAACCTTGTTCTACAAACTGACCCTGACCCACAACAAGAACATGGCCAGATTTGCTATGTAAAGGGTCCCTAGACTTATTTTTCACTAACTAGAAATGTCCTCCTAATTTTCTTGTATTGCCCAGCAATCACAACTGAGGGCTACCTAAGTGGACAGCCAAAGATTTATTTCTTCACATCTACTTGGGATTTTTCTTTTTCATGATCTAATGATCTCTTCATTGAGTAAGTGAACGCTATCTATGCTTGCTTTGCAAAGTTGTAGATGCTTTTTGCGATGTTTGCCTAATTTGAGGATTTACTTTATTAGATAGAAAAACAGGAGGCAGAAAATCACCGGTTACAACAGGAGCTGCAGGATGCCAGAGACCAGAATGAACTGCTGGAGTTTCGAAATCTAGAGCTAGAAGTAAGGAAATGTGGCTGATGATGATGATGATAATGATAATGATAACATAATAATAATAACAGTACTGACAGCAACAGTTGCCATGCCCTGTGTATGAGTGGCTGAATTAAATGTTTCAGATACATCCTCTCATTTGGACCTCACAACTACAGTCAAGATGTTATAAATGAGGTGACTGAGGGTAAATAACTTGCCCATATTCCCTGACTAATAAGTGATAAAGCATTAATGCAACCCAGAATTATCTGCTCAGATACTACAGTTTTCAATATTGTTGCCTTTATGAACAAGGCTAATGAGTAATTTTCTTAATAATGTAAATCATAGTTTTCAAACTTCATCAATATTTCATTGTTTTAAATAATTATTGCCATCCTTCATTGAAGTCTCTCATTAATCATATTTCAAAATATACTGTATACAAAAGCATTTCATAGTTAAGTTAAACACTTGAATCTCTAAGTAAACTTTTAGTCTATAAATGTATTTATGAAAAAGACTAAGAGCAAAGCAACCGTTTAGAACATCATTTGGTTAACTGATGAAATTTTACTCATATTTTTTTAGTTAAACATATCAATCAGATAAAATTTTGATTGTACCATGCCCCATCTGGCATAGAGCCTGGTTGTCTTTATGGTGAGATGTTAAAAATAAGGAAAATTCCCACTGGTTTTTTGGTATTTTTCCAGAAGTTCCTTGTTGAAGTTATTTCAGAGTGGAGTTGAATAGATTTGGCGTTGCTAGGCTCCAGTGAAAGAGTTTCATCTTCAGTAGCCACCCATCTTCCTCATGAAGCTTGGATGGCTTGAATATGCAAAAGGCCATTAGTTGCCATAAAATTTTATGGTCAAAAGACTACTTACTCCATGCAATACCAGAACATTCTAAATATTTATGCAGTTTAATTGCAACTCCCCTTCCCACATTTCCCAGAAGAGAAATTTGCAAGATTGGATAACACCATCTATAGATTCTTATTCTTTCATGCCTATTAGTTAACTAATCACTTCTTTTCCATTAAACTTAAACATGAACATCTTGAGATCAATTTTAATTTTTTTCTAAATGGCAAACTGCTGGAACAGTGTAGAGAACACAGACAACTGGTTTAGTGTTTAATCAGTTGTTGCTTCTTTTTTTTTTTAATTCCCATATATTCTTCACTGTATTTCAAGGAAAGAGAGAGACGATCTCCTCCTTTTAATCTACAAATTCACCCATTCTCAGATGGTGTGAGTGCTCTACAGATCTACTGTATGAAAGAAGGTGTCAAGGTAGGAAGATATTTAATTTTTTGTTTGTACTAATTAGAAAAATGGGAGATTGGAAAAGGGGATGTTGCTCAAGACTGGTGGTTTTTGTCACTAATTGTCATTTTGATATAAACAATATAGGGATTATACTTTCAACTACATTTATTGGAAAATCAGTGGAGTATAAACAAAATAAATGTGTGACAGGTGTGTGAATGATAACAGCAGAGAACACAAGAACCATCATTATTTAGAACAGAGTATCATAAAGGATGGCTCAAAATCAAAATATTTATTAAGATAATTATCCTTCATTCTCTAAAGGAAATATTAAATAAATATGGTACTTCAAGAAACATTTTAGATGTGCCCAGAAAGATACTTGTTGAGTTCCTTTGTTGTGCTCTTTTAGAAACTGTAGAATCCATAATTTTGGAATTGCATTATTGGAAGAGACATTGCAATCAACTAGTCTACAATCTCTTTTAATATGTTTAATTTAGGAATGATTGTTCATTTAGAAGGACATACAGTTTATACCATCTTGCTCACTTAGGCAAAACACAATTCTATTTTTAATGATACTGGAATGCATTTTAAAAGTTGAAGTTGGATTGAGGTGGCTCATTCTCCTAGCAAATATATTGTCCTTCAGTGTAATGAGATTACATTGTGAATATCTTTTCCAGAGGTAAAGCTCAAAAGCTTCCTGCCATTCCTGATCTCTCTTTTACCTTTGCATGGCCTGTCCTGCTCCCAGACTGAACTGCCAAAATACCTGCTTTAATTGCCTCCTCTTTCCCTGTGAAATTGAGCTAGACTTTCCCCTTCCTGGTGGTAGAGACCTACTGGACTGCTATTTGATCAAGAGTAAGAGGAGAAGGTGGTGCTAGTGAGCTAAGAAGCCAGGGAGGTGAGAGGAAGGCAGAATAGAGAGTAAAATTGTGTTTCTTTGTCTTCCATCTTGTTTTAAACTTCTGACCTTCCTGCGCCTCCTGAAGATTTGGAAACCAAAGTAATTTTTTTGATTGAACTCTAATTAAATGGAAATCATTTGACTCTTTTCCTTAGATGCTTTTTCTTAGGTAAATCACAAACAATTTAACCCAGTGGATGTCATTTATATCCCATTTTATATCTCTTCAAAATAGAGTTCAGCACCTTCAAAATGAACATCAAGGAATATAGTAAAAATAAGCAGAGTGAAATTAATGCTAAATTAAATTAATGCTAAATGCAAAAAATAGTGGTGTTTACTATACTAATGGTATTTACTATAATCTATAATTTCCACATAGAAATAAAAATATCAGCTAGGTCAGAATTCTATTAATTATTAAAGCTGGCTGATTATTTATATTTATTACTTATCACTTCTCTTTATACCTGAAATTATGATAATCTTTTAAATGGACAGATACAAGAAAAAGTTAATGAGTAAATTCCATGTCCTTATTACATCCTAGACTTTTTCCTGCACAATCTCTTTATTGACCAGCCTTTAAAGAAGGCATTTATGATCTTTATTTTGTGGTTAGCAAAATTGAGAATGAACCATTGAGTATTCTCCTTGAGTTCACACAATTTATAAGCAGCACAGTGGAAACTTAAAGCCAGATGTCCCTCATTGAAAACAACACAAGAAAGTATAGGCTTTAAAATGTTTTCTCTAGCTCGGGATTTAGACACAGAATAGTAGATCATGTTGATATCTTTGATGTGATTGCATTTCCTTGATTTTTCAGGATGTGAACATCCCTGATCTCATAAAGCAACTTGATATCCTAGGTGACAATGGGGTAAGTATGAATTGATTAAATGAAATAAAGGTTTAAACTGGCCTAAAGAGAAACAAGAAACACTTGCCAATGCATCATGTGTAAAATAATAATGGCACATGAGATGCCATGTTCTCTTCAAAATGTCTCTACCTGGAGAGAATCAACAATTTATCAAACAACTTGGATACAGGGTTGTAAGGACCCCTGAAAGGCAGAAATGGGACCTGGTAAAATGCTTTTCATGGGCAGGTTTCAGGTTTGAATGCTGCTGTGATTAAAGCTAATTACCTTCTTACTGTTGCTAGGAGGCAGCTAGGATGAAATTAATCAGTCATGAGATAGAAATGCTGTTAAATAGTAGGGTTGGTAACCATCCCATAAAAATGGTCCAGGAAACTATAATCTTTTTCTTTCAAAAAAACAACTTCTAGGTAGGGTCAAGACGTATTAATTCATTGGGAAGGCCATTCATTGCAATGCCAGATGAAAGATGCATGTAGGATGAAGGAGTCACACAATTTTTTCCCTTGAAAAATTATGACGGGAGCAAATGGAATCAATTAAATCATGCCAAGCTGCAATGACGGCATGAAAATGAATTAACATTTTCACATGACTACTAATGAAGTATGCTTACAGTAAAACAAAATCAATTCAGTTTTAGAAAGATAGACATCACAATTTATGTGATTTTTTTACAGATTTTGAATGAAATCTTTGTTAAAGAGTATTATTATGAAGTTCCCCTGCCTACATATGCAGTCATGTCTGTGGCAGGCACCTTCCAATGGCACTAATATTATAACTATCTTCAATTTCTTTTACTCCTTTGTCCTCACAGAATTTAAGAAATGAAGAGCAAGTGGCCATAATTCAGGCTAGTACGGTGCTGTCTCTGGCAGAAAAGGTAATGAGTTGTGCTAACATTCAGATCATTAGTGTCCGTGTAACATCTAGGGAAGGGCTGAAGGACATTCTCTTTACATATGACTTTGCATTATTGAATACCCAATACATATTTCACATTTCAGGGTACTCTAACCCAGATAGAATGAGAACACACAAAAGAAACGTCGACATACTGATTTGGGGTGGGTGGGTGATTGTCTTGAAGTCTCTTAGAAAATACAGTGTTTTACAAATGGAAGACCTCTAGCTTATTTTAATCAAGCAGCCCTACCAAGTAAGAGAGACTGTAAGCTGGAGCATGCCTGTGTTTGTTGGCTTTGCCTTGGGGGTGCACATACCAAGCCTTCCCAAGTGATTTTTATCACTCCATGGTGGCTCACTGCCAACTCTTTGAGAAAGGCCAGTTTGAGGCTCTCAGAAGAGCAACACCAAGTGTGCTTTGCCCCCTTGTGTCCAAAGCTGGTAAATAAATCAGAAGAAGGAAGTGAAGAGGACAGTCAGGAGGTGAAGCCTGACATCCTTCAGGTGCCATGAGAATAGCCCAGTGGTTGAGAGTTGTGTGTGTGTGTGTGTGTGTGCGCGGGTGTGTGCCTCATGGCTGGGTAAAATGAGAACTGTGAATGTCCCTCAAGTTGCTTTGTTAATTCCTAAATGTATGAAAAGCTTGTAAATCAATCAAAGGAAACCCTGAGCGATCTGTCAGCTGTCACCTATGTGAAATGAGGGCATTCTGCAGGTCAGTTACTCAGCAAAACAGTGACGTAAGGAATAAAAATGGGAAAGGGAAAGACCACCAGCAAAGAAAAAGGTACCATTGGGAATACCGATTCAAATAAGCCAAGTGCAAAGCCACTGCACCAAACTTGCCTTCCCACACTACCCTCACCCTCACACTAGCCCTCACCCTCACTCTTACCCCCACCCCAACCCTCACCCTGTCCTGTTAAAAGAAGGCAGCACTTCTGCTGAGCAGTGGAAGCTCCTGTTAACTGTGGCAAAATAGGCCACACCCCACCTACCTCCTTTGCAAGGCTGGGTGGGGTGCAGTTGAACAGTCACAAGGTGGTAAGTGTACTTAGCACAGCGATGGTAAGTATACTTAGCACAGTGACATAAAGCAAGGAACCAGGTGATTAAAACACAAGCCGAGCCCCAAAGTGTTCATGTGTAGAATTGTGCGATTCACAAGTGAAAGCATGCCTTCGGGATGTACAGATAAATGTTTCCACTTCTCTAAGTTATTCTAAATGTCAGCCTGGGATGTCCCTAGACTACAAATTTGAATAACACTATGGTATATAAGTGTCATTTTTTTTTTTACCAGAGATTGAGCCTAGAACTATTTTTAACAAGTAAACCCTATTGTTACTTTATATTAAAATAATAATAGTAGTGACCTTAACCTAGAGCAGGACTAGGTACCATACTAAAGACTGTTCTTCATGATCTTGTTATTCCTCCCAACCATCTTATTTTCATTTTACACAGGAGGAAACTGGAGCATGGAGTTTTCAGTAACATGCTTCCTCCCACTCAAATGGTAATGAACCAACCCAAATCTGTACCTAAAGCCTATGGCTCTACTTCGAATCACAGTGCTCCTTAAAACATGATATGCAAAAGAATTTGTTCTTCAGTGACAAGTCAACAACAGAAAGAGAAAAAAAATTAATAAAGTTAAAAGTACACAATGGCAGTATGAGGGCATTTACAGAATCCTATGACTTTTCACTGAAATTGATTTCAAGAAGAAAACATATTTGCAAGAATTGAGAGCTGAGCTCCTCACCAGTCTCCATGTATCTTTTTTTCTCCTCTTCTTATTGCCCTTGGGGACCTGGACTTCATGTCCCTGTAAGCATGTCAAGTTTGTAGGTATATAGAGCAATTCTTAGTGTGTGCCACACCATTTATCACAGATAACCGAAAAAGAAATAACTGATAGCGGGGTACATTTCTAATAGTGCAAAAAAGACAAAATAAATGTTAATCAAACATTAGAATGTACTGAATATGGGCAATACATTATGAATCATGACTTACTCAGATTACATCCTTTAATTTACACATTATTATTAGTCCCATTTTACAGATGAGAAAGTTGAGGGTTAAAGAAATCAGCCAACCTTGAAAAGCTGGAGTTGAGATTTGAGCCAAGTAGTCTGCCTCTAGAACCCACACATTTAATTATTATGCCCAGCCACTTACCATTATAATAATTTGTTCTATTCAACCATGTGTGGTAGATGCAAACCAAATTATTCAGTCAAGATTCATCCAGGCTATTGATCAACACAAACATCCAATGCCAGGTGTTTTATGTAAGTTAAAACCTCTTCTCTCAATAAAATGAGTGAATGATTCTTTCATACTTAGCTGTAGTCAGTTTCCAATACCAAAAAAAGTGCCATTTCTCCAGTCTCACCAGCCTTCTGCCTTTCATCAAGTTCCCTCCAGCCACAACTAGACGTCCCTTCTGCTTGGAACTTGCATCTCAATTTTGCCTGACAACCTGACTCATTCTTCAGGTTCCAGTTTAGTTGTCATTTCCAACAAGGCCTCTGTGGTGTCCCCAGAGAGGGCAAAAATGTGTTGGTCTTGATCTCCATCACAGCCCTCATTCCTGGCACATGGACTGACTAACAGTAGACATCAGTGAATGCATTTGTTGAATAAATGAATGAATGAGTGAATGAATGAAAAATGCGATCTAGTTTCTAATCAAGTGATAAAATGCACCAAGTTTTCCCTTTAGTTCTCAGTGTGATTCCAAAATATAAGGACAAGCAAGAGACTACGCAGAGCAGTAGACAGGACCATATGCACCATATCAGGTAATAACATCAAATGCCTTTGTCCTTACCCCATAGTGGATTCAGCAGATCGAAGGAGCAGAGGCTGCCCTGCACCAGAAAATGATGGAATTGGAAAGTGACATGGTGAGTGTGAGCATGCAGTACCATGGAAATGAAGAAAAATTGATAATGTAAATGGAATACTGCTATTATCTACCAGTTTTCCCTGGCACTGGCAAAAATATGTAGCTTACTCATTATTTTGTATAACAGACCATGGAATGAAATTCCCAGAAGAATCTAACAATTTGAAGTTGTATTTCTCTAAAACAAATCATTTTATATTTTTACAATATTTCTGAAACGAATGCTTAAGAAAATTCAGTTCTTTTCTTTCCTAGGTTAATTAATTTTCTACCATATGTAATTGCAGTAAAAAAATCACAGAAATAATGGGTGTGACTCTGATTTTAAAAACCCCTAGCCAGCTCACATCCATTAGGATGGGTAAGGAAAGATAAGAAGAGGGAGGGGACAGTGGTGGAAGGAGGTGGAAGTAAGTGTTGACAAGTATGTGTGGCAGCTTAGGCAGGAGCATTCCCAGTGCCCAGTGACCGTAAGCAAAATACGGCCTCTGTCCAGTTGAATATTTTTCAACCTGGTTTTTAAAAAGAAGGAAATTTTGATATGTGCGACAGCATGGCCAGACCTTGAACACGTGATAAGCGAAATAGCAAGTCAGCCACAGAAAGACAAATACTATTTTATGCCACTTACCTGGGGTATCTGGAGTAGGCCAACCCCCAGAAATCGAAAGCAGAACGGTGGTTGTCAGAGACTAACAGAAAGAAATGGGGAATGCTTTAACAGCTATAGAATTTCAGCTGCAAGGTAAGAGTTCTGGAGATGGCACATTATGAGTATAGTTAACACCAATGAACATTTAAAAATGCTTAAAGTAAGGTTTATATTATATGTTTCCCCACAAGAACATTTCTTAAATCTCCAAGCGGAAGAATTGCTTGTTATTAACTTGCAGCAATGATAGAATTTTGTTAACAGTATAGTCTTTAATGTTATTTTTACTAAAAATCATAAAGTGATTCTTACTAGGTTTGATAACACTGTAAAAACAACTTGCATTTATATAGCTTGTGACAGCTTGTGTTTGCTTAGGTTTGCATCTTAGCAAGAGGGTAGAGGCCTCTTCAAGAGATCTTGAAGTCAAAGCATGTAACAAGAAGTGTTATGTCAAAATACACTTGAAAATTCTTTTTAAAAATATTAAGTTACATTTTTTAATTCATTCTTTTTATTGATGTTGGTTTACAACACTGTAGATATCTTATGGGCATAAGCCACACCTCTTATTATGTATGTCACCCCACAACAAGTGCCACCAAAGCACCAATAATCCTTCACCACTGAGCTCCACCTTCTCCCCACAATACTCCCTTAACCCATCTGATAGTCTTAATTCGGCAGTCAGATTTCTAGGATTTGTTTTAGTTTAATTTTGTCTGTCCTTTGCTTTTTCTTCTTTATATTCCTTTATATTTTTTTCTTTATATTCCTTTATATTCCAATATTTGTCTTTCTCCTTAGAATCTGTTTCACATAGCGTAATCCCCTCCATTTCCATTCATGGTGTCACAATGGCAAAGTTTCATATTATCTTTTTAATCGCTGTGTAGTATTCTGTTATCAATATTACACCAAATCTTTATCTATTCACCTGTCCTTGGCATGTCAGTGGCTTCCATAATTTATCTATTGTAAATAGTGCTGCAATGAGTATATACACCTACACACACACACACACACACACACACACACAAAGTATTGAGTTAGTGTATTTGCTTTCTTTGAATAAGTATCAAGGAATGGAATTGCTGTATTATATGGTAGTTGTATTTATTTTTTATTATTTTTTTTTACATCATTCTTCATTTTGTGCATTTTTCTAGCTCAGTCATAATCCCGATTGGCTTCCCACCACTAATTCACCCGTGTTTCATTACCACAGTCCAGTGCACTCTTCTGACCCCAGTTCCAATCCCATTCTCACCCCCTATAAAGTATCTTTGGTTTATGTTTGTTCATTGTTCTCATTTTTACTCTAATACATTTGTTTGTCTCTTTTTTTCCTCCCCTGATCACTTACACTCCTGCTATGAGTGAAACCATCTGGTATTTTTCTTTTTCTTTCTGGCATATTTCAGTAAACACGATCCCTTCCAGCTCCACCCATGTTGCTGCAGAAGGCATGAGTTTATCTTTTTTTGATTGCCGAGTAATATTCCATTGTGTATATGTACCACATCTTTTTAATCCAGTCTTCTGTTTTCGGGCATTCGGATTGATTCCATGTCTTCTCTATTGTAAATAGAGCAGCAATTAACATGAGGGCGCCAGTGTTCTTTTGAATCAATGTTTTTGTGTCCTTTGGGTAGATACCTAGGTGTAGGATTGCTGGGTCATATGGAAGCTTTATTTTTAGCAGTTTGAGAAACCTCCACATAGCTTTTCATAGTTGTTGTATCAGTTTGCATTCCTACCATCAGTGTTGGAGAGTTCCTTTTTCTTCACATCCTCACCAACATTTGTTGTTGCTGATTGTTTTAATATGTGTCATTCTCACTGGTGTGAGATGGTATCTCATTGTGGTTTTAATTTGCATCTCCTTTATTACAAGTGATGTTGAACATCTTTTCATATGCCTGCTGGCCATCTACATTTCTTCGTTGGAGAAGTGTCTTTGTAGCTCTTCTGCCTATTTTTTGATGGGGTTGTTCACTTTATTTTTGTTGAGTTTAATTAGCTCCTTGTGTACCTTTGTGATCAGTCCTTTGTTGTAAGTAACATTTGCAAATATTTTCTCCCAATCAGTGGGGTGTCTCTTTGTTTTGTGTAGTGTCTCTCTTGCTGTACAGAAGCCCTTTAACTTGATGTAGCTAGGTAGTTGTATTTTTAGTATTTGGTGAAACCTCCATACTTTCTTCCATAGGGGCTAGACCAATCTACACTCCCACCAACAGTGTACATGAGTGCTTTTCCCTCCATACTCTCACCAAAGGTTCTAGTTTCTGATCCTTTTGATATGGGTCATTCTCACAGGTGTGAGGTGCTATCTTGTTGTGGTTTAAATTTGCATGTTTCTGATAAGAAGTGATAATGAGCACTTTTTCATGTACCTTTTGGCCATCTGTATGTTTTCTTTAGAAAGATGTCTATTTAGCTTTTCTGTCCATTTTGATTGTGTTATTTGTCTTCTCACTGTTGAGTTCTTTGTAGGTCTTGGATATTAGCTCCCTTGTCAGATATATATATAATGTGAAAATATAGAGGGTGTCTTTTCGTTTCAGTGATCACTTGTTTCCTTGTGCAGAAGCTTTTGAAAGCTCAAAATACACAAATCTGAATTAATTAGTCAGTCTGCACCAGGCCCTGCTGTTGACACTGGAGCTCAAAGATAGTCAGGAAAGTCACTGGCAAAGTGATACAGAGTCCCTCAAAGGCCCATGCTGCCCATTTTCTCCTGTATTGGAAGAGGTCACATCTCTTTACTTAAACACATGAAAAATGATGGACTGAGCTTGGGGCTATATTTTTCACAAATATACAAGTTTCTGTACCAATGACAAGATGCTCTCCACTTGAGGCTCAGAAACTGGAAACAATCATCAGATTTATGGCTCCCAAATCTCACTGGTTCTTTGGAAGGAGCAACCACTCACTCATTATGTGGTGTTGTGGGCAGAATCACCCCTACTCTCTGTTACCTTTCTTTGTGTATGATAGTGGCATATAGATGACTTTGAGGAAGCTGTTTTTAATTATACAACTCATTGTATTTTATTTCATAACATTCTTCCAGAATGTACTATCTCAATATATTTTTACACAGACATGCTCATTAGCTAACACTTGCTTTATTAAAATCTATCCTTAATCACATACTTTTGGATTGTTATAAAAATTCCTTGTGAATACTTCATTATATTGTTTGTTTCTTTCCATTGCTTTGCAAATTGTCTGTGTCAGACTAGGGAAGGTGAGCTAGTTCCAAGACAGACAAAATCTCTGACCCTACATCTGTGGTAAATTGGAGGAAATAGTAATCCATACAATTTATATATAACTTTCCAGTTAACTATCAACATGACCTTTTTTCTTTTTTTAATAGGAACAGTTCTGCAAAATAAAAGGCTATTTGGAGGAAGAGCTGGACTACAGAAAACAAGCTCTGGACCAAGCCTATATGGTAGGTACAACCAGCAGCCAGGACACCCAGATTGTTCACAATTCTATACTGAGGAGCAGAGCATCCTGCCTCATTTGTCAGGCTCGGTGTCACCCAATGTAGCTCATTTATGCAGTGGTTTCCAGATCTAGTTTTCAAATAAATAAAAAGGAAGTGATTTCCCCTCCCTTCCGACCTTTTACCCTACCATCACCACTGTGAATGATGAGACACATGTTTTTGTGGACAAGACGGTGCTCATTCAGACAAAAAATCAGTTAGCTTTTAAAAAATGAGTGCAGAAAACAACCCAGAGCATGCCCATTCACCATGTCAAGGTCACAGTGGATCTGAACTGTAGCAACTGTATCTGAAGCATGTTGGAAAGTAAACCAGAGCAGCCTGGATATAAGGAGTAGTAAGCGCTGCAACTAAAAGAGTCCAGTGGTCATTTCTTTGATGAAACAATACTATTAAAAATATTATTTTAATGACTCCAGGTCATTTTTCAATCAAATATCCCAATTTTTTTTTTTTTACATGGAGAGCATAAAGCCATCATCAAGTATAGAGGTGTGTCGTGCAGAAGAGAGGAGCCATGTTGTACATGAAAAATGTCTCAATTCCAAATGAGTCTACTTTTCAATACTTCTAATAAAGTAGGACCCTGACAGACAGATAGGTAAATATTTCAAGGACTGTCAAACCAAAGAGAAAACAAATTTATTATTCTCTGCTGTATTTAAAAAGAGTTATTTGAACAAAGTAAGGACTTGCTAAAAGTGAAAGGTTTGTGGAAGGGACAGGATCCCTAAAAGGGGGGGATAAATTCACCATCATGTATTAGGGTGATGATCCCCACAGAGCTTATAAGCAGGATGAGCTATAGGGTTGCTAGACTGGGAAGGCCTTGACATTTCTTCAACTCCTGTAATCTAAGAGGGTAAAATACTATCTTATCTCTACCCCATATACACACATATGGGCACCTTCACACACGGCACCCGATGCAACGTTCCAAAAAGAGACTTTGAATTCTATTTGCCAGAGAATCCAGGAACTAGAAGCTACTCTGTACAATGCTCTGCAGCAAGAAACGGTGATCAAGTTTGGTGAATTATTAAGTGAAAAACAGCAAGAGGAACTGAGGACAGCAGTAGAAAAGTTACGGCGGCAGATGCTGAGGAAGAGCAGAGAGTATGACTGTCAGATTCTTCAGGAGCGGATGGAGCTCTTACAGCAAGCCCATCAGGTGAGGGCTCAGTGCTGCCTCGGTGCTGGGCTGGCACCAGCAAATGGGACTTGGAGCTACCACATGGTCTGGGGAGTGGGCATGAAAAGCCAGAGGAGAGCTAAGCTACTTTCAGGAGTAAAGTCGCGAATTATCCTTTTGTACCTTTACTCAAACAGGATAACAGTTTTGTAATGATTCAATCTTAAGCAAATGGGCTTTTCAGGAAAGTCCATATTACCACTATTTCACCCCTGCTTTGTCACTAAATACCATGTCATCTACTACTGATCTTTTGCCAGCTAGCTTTTGGTTGCGAGAGGCTGCCCTGTGAGCTGGAGGCTGTTTCGCAGCACCCCTGGCCCTCTACCCAATGATGCTTTTGCAACCCCCTCGCTCCCCACTTGTGACCAGTGTCACATGTGATTGAGAATGTCATACAATGACACCCTGGTGTTGGTGGTGCTACTTTGTGAATCTATCAAAAACGGCTGTTTTACATGCTTTAAAATAAAGGAAACTATTTATTTAAATGTCCAGACAGTGTTGGGTGTCCCCGAGAAGGAAAATCTTTCTGGTTGATTTTAGAGAAGGGATTGGGGATATGATTTCCAAATTCAGTTATCCTTTTTCCTAACTGCCCTTTTTCTCCCGACATTTGCACCATAAAAACCTCTCTTTCTATGTTATCCACCCACTTGGCTTCCAGTGTTTCCTTCTCAAACTCAGTTCTCGGTGTTCAGTGCTCTAAATCTAGTCATTAAAGGTACTAGATGATAAACAGACTCTAGAGCCAGAGCCAGTCACATAAGTCTTGATGTAGCCAGGTGTAAATTTGAAGACTATTTTCGCTTGCAAATAATTGCCTATATAAAGTAGATTTCAAATCTGTGTTATGTAAATTACTGGAATTTTGTCATCTATAGGTAACTTCCCTTTTTGTCTTCAGAAAATTCTGATATCCTTGTTATGTTTTTTCCTAATTTATCAGTTTTTTTCCTTAACATTTTCATTGAAGTGTAACCTCTACTGATTTTATGATGGATTCTTTTTGGGAAGGACTCTCCACCTGAAACAGAATTGAAATAAGCTTGTAAAGAATATCAACAAAACAATGGACTTGTTTACATTTGTGGAAGTCAGTGTTAGCCATTTGTACTATAGTAACCACCAACCAAAAATCTCTATCCAAATGACTTACAACAAAGTTTGTTTCTCTTGCACTAGCTCGAGAACACACTGCTGTCTCTACAGAGATGTGGGATCCCACACCCCAGCAAATCACAGCCTTCTGGTCAAAAGGGCCTCATGACCCTGGTACCTCTCTAGTCAGTAGAGAGTCTAGCGGGAAGCAGCCAATTTTTTTGTTTTTAAATAAAATGAATGACAATGCCTTCCTACTACAAGGAGGAAATATAGTTTTTGAAAGAAGTAGACGCCTTCTGGGTATAAAAAAAATACACATGCCGTGTTTCCCTCTGCCGGGACTAGTGTTCATGTTTTCACAGGAGGTGTTCTGTTTTCGGAATCCTTCTGTTCAAGTTCATGCCCCTCATGCTTGCTCTCTTTCTCTCATCAGAGAATTCGTGACTTAGAAGACAAAACAGACATTCAGAAAAGACAGATAAAGGACCTAGAAGAAAAGGTTTGTGTTGAGTTCATTCTCTATTTTAATCAGAAAATAATGTCAAGCCCATTCATTATTTCTTTCAGTCACTGTGTATTTTGGTGTGATGAATCTAAGCATAAATTTTACCTTTAGTCAGGCACCAGGATTCTAGCAAAGTCTACCTGCAGTAACCTTGCCTGCACTGTTGCCTATTGTGTTAACTCCCGTTCTTTTCTATTTTCTTTCTTCATTTTCCCCTTCTTTGTCTTCCTCATCTTCTTTTCCTTTCTATAACTTTCTTCTCAATTTTGTCCTTCTACCTTGCTCTTTCTTTTAAAAAAATCTGTTCAGCATCTCTTAAAAAAATCTTTCCCATTATTATTCAGGAAAGCCCCTCTCTTCCTTGTGCTCCAGTTTCACCTCCATAATAAAATCAGAAATTTAGGTGGACACATGACAGTTCTGCTCTCATGCCACTTCATCATTGGTTTGCAAGTGGCTGTTTCACACCAGCCTGCACTCTTTCTGGGTAAAGCAGAGTAGTTCTTAAAGAGGCATTTGGAAATGTGTAGGTGAGACTGGAGCAGGCGCAGGGATCCGGCAGGGGTGCTGAGCAGCCCACCGTGAGGGAGACAGTCTGGCAGCATGAAGAATTTGACACCAGCACCTATAGCCAGGATGGAAAGGGGTTTCCCCTGGAGTTCTAATCTGATTGACCTGAACTAGCTGCCTGAATCCCTGTCAAAAAAAAAAAAATGTAGTTATCTTGCATTTTCTTCCATGGGCACCCAAAAGAAATAGTAAACCACCTGGCATTTCTGAGATCATAGCTACAATTTGGCTCATCACAAATAGCTTCTGTGTGCAAGAGAACAGAGGCGGTTGGTGGGCTCAAGTAACCAGATCATTGGCCACTTGATTCTTAGCAAGGCTGGCTCTTCAGATATTTGCTTGACCGTAGGTAATAACTTCATTCCCTGTGTCTAAGTCATACCTATAAAATAGAAATGATAACACTTAACCTCACTGATTCTCTCATGGGTTCCACTTTTATCTCATTTCTTTCTCATAATTATTCTAAGAGTCAATCACAGTAGATTATCAGATCCCCTTTTATACAAATAATCAAGCAGCAATTCAGAGAAATTAAACAATCTATGGCAAGTCAGGCCAGAGGTCAAGGTGTCTGACACCACACACACACACACACACACACACACACACACACTGCCTGAGTCTCATAGCAGACTAAGTCATGGGCACCTCCTTGTGCCCAGAGAGGTGGCACTACCCTCTGCCTTCTCTAGGAAAAGCAGGTGCCTTTCATGCCTTTCCTTCATGTCCACTCCTGCTACCATAGGATCACAATCACTCCATCTTCGAAGAATGAGAAAAAGGGCAGTTTCTTCTTTGCGGGCTATGAGATTAGTCACCAAGGCGTGACTCTTAGCAGGATATTGACCAGCCTTGGCAGTGAAGTAGTCGAGAAACATGCCCAATATGTAAACACCTTATAGAACCCATACTCAAGGATCTTACGTCCAACAGAATGCTCTGGAGTGTGGTAACAAAGTGAAAGCTCTCCTGGCCTGTGAGAGTAAATCACTAATGCAAGTGATATTTGAAAAAGCTGACCCACCTTCATAATTAATATGTTTGTTGTAGACCATTGCTGCACAAGCGTGGTTGTCTATTCAAGTATCTGCTTCTTTAGTCAAGATTCTTGGTGAAGAGAAACAAACAGACCCCATTTAACTTCTATGTTCAGATAAGGTGAGAACCACCTAGCCAGCAGGACTGGCTGCAAAGCATCACCAACCCAGGAATTCATTATCCAAGGTGTCCACGGACATGTCAGCACAGGTCATGCCCCTGGATGACCACACATCTTCACTTGGGGGACAGACGCAGTCACACTGAGATCCCAGTTTCCTCTTAGAAGTGTTCCACTGTGAATAATTTATTATGTTTGCTCTTTGTGTTAATATTCTTCCTGCTATGCCTTTATCCCAAAACCTATCACATTAGCCAAACAATGACAGCGATGACCGATTAACTATATGCTGTGATATATTTTGTGCTTTGCAAATACACTCCTACATATTTAAAACAGGGACAAGAATTATACATCCCTGGAGCGGGACTCAGGAGCTGGAAGTTCAGCCTTCATACACCATGAAATGGCATGAGATTATACAGTTGCTTGGTTAGCTGCTCTGTATTTATTTTTTCACCTATAAAACTAGGAGACAAATTATCTATAAGATGCTTCTGAATTCTAAAATGTATAAATGCAATGTTAGTTGAATGCCAGGTCTTCATTTCATTGCTTTGCCAGTAGAGAAATAAAAGGTGTGAATTTTTGAAGCAAAAATTGGTGTGTGTGTCATAGTGAGAAATGTGGAAAGCTGAGTTTTGTGCTACCTGAATGACACTACAGAAATTCACATGTACATAATCTTCTTCTTTTTCTTCTGCAGTTTCTGTTTCTATTCTTGTTCTTCTCTCTTGCCTTTATTCTATGGCCTTGATGTCAAGGTGCCTCTTAAAGGTAAGATTTCGCTTCATTTTCAATATGTGATTCTAAGAGGTATTTGATATGAAGGATCTACAAATTGTTACTATGCCCGTGTTTTGTTTTGTTTTATATTATACTTGGGTTAGTTGTTTTAAATGTCATAAAATGAGAAACTGATCCCATCCATTTAGGTGATTCTTAAAGAAATTAAACAACTATGAAGTATGATGGAAATAAAGATTTTTTTCTAGCTGAATGTATTGCCTAGGAAGTTATGATATCTCTGGACCCCTGCATATTCTGATTACGCAGAAAGAGCTGCCTCATGTCTGCAAAGTGAAGCCATTCTTATCTCCTCCAACCTGCCATTCTGATTCTGTCAATCTAACAAGCTAATGATGATTGATGTTTTCTATAATCCTTTCTCCTAGTCTTCGGAAGAACTCAGGAAAGCAGTCTACTAAGTGAAATTGGATTTTGTTTTCAAATAAGATCATTTTGTGTCAATTTAGGGGGAAAAAAAGGAGTCATTATTGAAAGGAGAGGTTTTTTTTTTTTTACTAAATTATTAATTCTATGCTCATGAATGCAAGTATGGTCACAGTGGTTCCCAGTGCTATTAAAAGTACAGATTATAAGACCTTCTCTGTGACTTAATCTGATTACTAGTGAAGAAAGTGAGGTGAGGATGGGAAAGTGAAAGCAAGAATTGGTCTTTATTTTTAACAAGCATACAGGTGATTTTGATGTCTATGGAAGCAAGGAAACTACAAATTAGAATACCATTATTTAAAAGTGAAGAATGACTAGGTGCTATTTTAAATGCATTGATCATGGTCCATGTCAACTTTAGTTATCCTTTCAGTCCATAATAAGCAGGAAACTTTTCTAGACATCATGTTATTTAACACTCTCCATAGCAAGATGAAGAATAAGAGATTCTCTCTGCATGGGTATCAACTGTTAGCTGTTGGATGTTGAACAAAGGAGCAAAAAAGTTTATTTTGAGAAAGCATTGTTTTATTATTTTATATTTATATTATCTTTTATTATACTTTATTATTGTTTATTATACATACACACACATAGTGATACATATATATACATACACATCATTGTTTATTTGTGTACAGTTTGTTTTCTCCTCTCGGGTGTATTCCACATATAATTCCCACCACCAAGTCAGCTGTGAACCATCACTATAGTCTTCTGTGCTCTTTCCACCCAATTTTTTTTTTAAGATTTATTTATTTGCGCATACAGAACTGGGGTACAGGCCAGAGGCACAGGTGTGGTGAGAGGATTCACCAAAGACAGAGTGAGACAGAGTGAGAGGGAGGCAGAACAGGACAACTGATGAAGAACACTGCCTAGGGGAGCAGTGGGCGTGTCAGGAGAGGTCTGCCACACCATGTGGGTCACCTCCGGGGCGGGGAACTCATGCTGAAGTGGCTTTAGCTTCTTAGTACTGTGTTTTAATCTGCTGGACCACCAGAGAGGGCCCTGACCCTGTTTTAATGCCTCTCCTTCCCCTGCCCTGCTTAATGTCTCTACTTTATAACTGTCTGCAGGTTTGGTCTTTTTTTTTCCCCCTGCTCCCTTCTTTGGTCTATTCCTCCTAAAAGTGAAATCATCCAATATTTTTCTTTTTCCTTCTGAAAATTTCACTAAGCATAATTCCCTCCAGCTCCAGTCATGTTGCTGCAAATAGCATGAGTTTATCTAAAAAAAATACTTTCACATTGACACAAGAAAGAGGTTAAACAGGTAGCCCCAAAAAGCGGACCTCATATAACCAACCATCTGCAATACAGCAGGACTGAAATTGCCAGACAGCAGAAAACAGACTTCACCCAAAGAACAATAAATAAATGATGGGGGTGGAAGGTTGGGTATAAACAAAAGTTAGTGAGACTCAAGTACTACACAGTGTAGGAAAGAAAAATGAAACCTCCTAAGTACTAGCTAGATATGAGTAGGTCTGAACATTTCAACAATGACTAGCATTTACGGAGTATGTGCTACTCTAACCAATAGAGTAATCCTCACAAAACCCTCTAGAGAGCAGGTATACTTTCATTGTCTGTTTTATGTTGGAGAATTGCAGTTGCCACTTGGCCAAGACCTCACTGTGACAGTGAATCTGGGTGGTGTAAAATCTATGCAGAGAAAAAGACGTAGTCTTTGAAGTTAAATATATTTTTAAGTTTGATTCCTGCCATTTACTCTTTTTATAATGGTAGAATTAACCTACCTGAAACTCAGTTTCTTACTCCACATAATAATTATTATATTGCCTAAAGAGTATTATGATGAGAGAAGTAAATGAGGTCACACATGCAACAGAGAGAGTACATTGTCTGGCACATGGTTAACTAATGAGCAGCACTTATTAGAAAGTAGAAGAAAGTTTGCCGTCACTTCACTGAGCTTACTAATGTCTAAATTGAAATTATCACCTTGTAGTATTGCCAAAAGCTTTACCACCTAAACCAAACAAGTAGTTTCCTTCTCACCTCCTTTTTTCAGGAAATAATCTAGATTTTAAAATACATGGGAACTTAATCAGGAAACTGGTTAATGTTTGGTGTATCTTTCTAATCAGTCCAGAGAGAGGAAGAAGTCAGGGAGAAAAATGCATGACCTGTTGGCAGGGAGTAAAAACTACTGTAAAATAGCCATAAAAATCTCTTCCTATTAATTCATTATATATAAATTATTTATTTATATTCTGGGACGGGTTGACTTAAATTAGATATAAAGATGCCATCCTTTAAGAGAGTGACTTGGGGCCTCTTTTCCTAGCAGCTTCGTTACGTCACTGTGGCCAGAGGTGGCCTAGAAGCTGCTGCAGGCTGCCGGCAGGTGCCCTCACTGCTCTCAGCGGTCACTACTCAACCTTTCAGTTCCATGGGTTAACCTGAGACTTTTCCCTTAAGCACAGGAACCCTGGGAGCCAGGTTGATGTAACCCATCAGAAACCCTTTCTGAGTGGATTATTGAAGAATAGAGCAGCACCAACTTTGTTCATTATATAGTTGGGGGGACCAGACAGTGCAGGTGATTTTCTTTTAGATTTATTTATTTATGCATACAGAACTGGGGTACAGGCCAGAGGTGCAGGGGTGGTGAGAGGATTTGCCAGAGACAGAGCCGGGAATAAAACAGGCAGATCGACGAAACACTGCTGAGGAGAGCAGCAGGTGGGTCAGGAGAGGTCTGTCGTGCCATGTGGTCACCTCCAGGGCTGGGGATAGAACTTGCACGTGAAGAGGCTGTGGCTGGCTTGTAGTGCTGCATCCTAACCCATTGTGCCACAAGGGAAGGCTGGAGGACAGATGATCTTAACTTTTCATCCACTCTAGTGTACTTTGTTTTCAGTGATACTTCCCAAGAAGTATCACTTTCAGTGATACTTACCAAGAGCGCTTGAACCTGACCGCTCAATACTTTGTATTTCCTGTTTAGTAACATGAATGTGGTTAAAGGCACATTATTGTGCTGATGCCTCCCAAAACTTAATAAACTTAATAAAAACAAGTAATATTTTATAACATTCGAATCAGTTTTACAGTGTTTTATAACAAACAGTTCATCAGTTATAAATTCTCCATTAAAATGTACAAATGTTTATTTTTAATCAACGTCTGCTTTTTTCAATCTTCCTCATACCAATAGCTACAGGTGGCCTGTGGAAAACAAATGACAATATGACCAATTTGTGCTGTAGTTGTTTAAATAGGAGAAGTTTCTTTTATTCTTGCTTCTATTCTTTTATCTTAGCAACAGAAGCCTATAAATTAAACCAGTGTATCTGTTTGACCATGTAATGTGTCCATTAGTCCTTAGCCAGTCATTAAAAGTGGTTCCCTCTCAGTCTGTCACATTAGAATATTCCAAAAGGCTAGAGTAGGGTTGATACTTGACTCACCTTTGTATCTTCAGTGTCTAGATGTACTAGGTGTTGTGTAAAGTTTAAATTGGTAGAGAGATGAATGAATAAGTAACTGGACAAGAGACTGTCAGTAAAGCTCTGTGACATGTAAGTGATGTGATGTGAGATCTAGAAATCACACCCAGCTTATTCTGTCTTGATATGGCATTTGGAGAAGAACTTAAAGAATAAGTAAACCAAGGAAAGAACACATAAATACACTGTCCTATAACTAACTCCCTACTAACTGGGCTTTGTTTCCCCTTAGACACTCAGAACTCACTCTCTTCACAGCAGCTCCATTGAATTTTAGAAAAAAAAATCTATCCATGTCCCCTTCCTGGAAAACTTCACCATGAATGTTAAATCCCAGTTTCTTTCTTTTTTTTTTAAGATTTATTTATTTATGCATACAGAACTGGGGTACAGTCCAGAGGCTCAGGGGCGGCAAGAGGCTTCACCAGAGACACAGTAGGGAGTGAACAGGCAGATCTATGAAGTACACTGCTGAGGGGAGCCGCGGGCGGGTCAGGGGAGGTCTGCCACGCCATGTGGATCTCCTCCAGGGCAGACGGGAATCGAACTCATGCGGAAGTGGCTTTGGCTTTTCAGTGCTGTGCTTTAACCCGCTGTACCACCAGGGAGGGCCTAAATTCCAGTTTCTTAACTTAGATGTTACAGCCCTGTGTGATGTAACCACAGACAACCTCAGGCTTTCCCTGTCTCTCAGTGACCCCTGCCCATCCCCTGCCATCTCCCATGACTGTGCCCTCACTGTCTGGTGTACAGAGCACCCCCCACATGCTCTAACCAGTAAATGCCATGCACACAGCCTCAGATCTCAGCACAGCTGTCATTTCATCAGACAAGCCTTTCCCATTTTCACTTAGCATTGACGGAGTGAAGGTTTCAAGAGAGGATCCTTGGATTTCCAGATAGCATAACTGATTGATGGAGCCACTCACAGCTATCTGAAAAGCAGAAAAAAGGGTGGCAGTTGTTGCTGATTTTTAGTTATTTGCTGTAGACTCATTTGATCAACATGTCTCTACATAGATAGTCCACAAGAGATCAAAACCACCTTCTAGCAGTTCGAAAATCCTGAGGATAGTGACCATGTGTCTATTGTTTAACCTTGATGGTTATTTGCTAGGTGCCTTGAATGAGTCAGGCAGTGCTGCAGGCGCGGGGATATTAGAGCACAAGGCAGAAGTGACATCATTCACTCGTTGGCTTCGATCCGGGGGCACGTAGTGGTTTCAGAAATGATAGCTGCAATTGCTGTTTCACAGAGAGGAGACACATGCTCAGTGCTGGAACAACCTGTTCACAAGAATCCCTGAGGTGCTCTATTACCTAAACACGCCTTCCAAATCAAAGATGAATTGATATCCCAGACTGTCTTAGTTTTGGTGTACTGCCTGTGACTTTGAAACTTGCTCCTTTCTGGTACCCATTGGGTAAGTGGGGTGCCTCAGTTATCCATATGCCTAGTTGAATAAAGCCAGCTTTACTGAAAAGTCACCATTCCTTTTATACACAGGCAACACAAATTATAAGTCCATCTACTTGGTGTGGTTTTTTTGTTTTTTTTGTTTTTAAAATCAGCATGGTTTACTCAATAGGTCACAGTACACGAACATGTGCTTGGAAACAGAATTTAGGCTTTGCCCTTGAGAGGATCACAGTTGGAAGTTTTGCAGGACTGACTTTTTGTGCTTACATATTTCATTCGTTCACACACACATACCTTAGAGTCTTGCATTTGCACCCAGATCAGTTCCCTTCTTTGCTAGGGAACATGGAAATATTGTATTTGTATCAGTGGTGTGGGACTCTCATCTCAGTAAAGATGAACACAATTTGTTTTTCTTAAAACACGGCATCACTCAGTTCTGTGCTAGTTCCCACTCTTACCCGCCAATTCAGTCTTGGGTTGGTTTCCCATTTGTTTAGTCATGTTCAGTTCTTAAAAGTCAAACGCTCTTGAAAATTTCACCGCGGACTCTAACCGCCTGTCTTCCTGGTCCTGCCTTCAAGTGGAGCTGGGCACCCCAATGGAGTAGGCAGCTGGCAGCCTGCACACCCACCTTCAAGGCTCAGTGCTGCGGAGGGCAGGGCCAAGGAAGAAGGAAAGGAGGGGCCTCCCTGGTGGCTCAAGGGTTAAAGTCTCAGTGCTAACTAGCTGTGAGGCAGGGGCAGCTGGAATTCCATCCCTGGCCAGGGAGCTGACCCACATGGAGTAGCAGACCTCTCCCGTCTCACCTGCTATTCTGTGTGTTCTGCTTCCCATTTTGATGAATTCTCTCACTGCCTACCCGCCCCACACACCTCTGGCCTGTACCCCAGTTCTTGTATGCATAAATAAGTCAAATA